ATCCTCTGCTGAAATCCAGTTCCCATTATGGAATTTCAGGAGAGACAGTCACGGCTTAGAGGAAAGTGTGCCAGATGTTAAGAGACCTAGAAAAAATATCCTGTTAGGACTCTTGCAAAAGTCTAGATTGATGTAAAGAAGATCAGATCTGGCAGGCATGATGACCATCGTCATATATTTGAAAATCTATTTTGTTTTGAAAAATAGGCTTGTTCTGTTTTACTTTAGAAGCATGGTAGATATAGAAATAAGGCAGATGATGGTAAGGACACCTTACAAGTTAGTGGGTTGCTTCTTGTCATCTGAAACGATTTGCAGGACTGTTGTGAAGGGATTTCCTGTACTGGGTGGGTATCTATGATTTTCCTATGGGCACACTGTTTTTCTTGAGGTGTACTTTGTCAATTTACAATGGTTTAAAGAAGTCTTATGTCCTTTCACATAGCAAAAGGTGGGCTAAAATTTTGGGTTGCAGATAGATTGTTCCTCTAACAGCAGAATAATTTTTTCAAGATAAAATTTTAATTAATTTTGGGTTATTGCTTACAAGTGTTCCTAAAATTCCATTCTAGATCTGAGTACAACTGCTGTAGATGGTGTGATTTCTCTGGCCGTACTCATTCAGCCTCAGAGAATGGCAGTTATAACTCAAAGATTCCTACATAAGTCATAAGTCCTGGGAATCCTAAACCAAGATTTATCCAATGCATAAACTTCAAGAGACTGGCCTTTTCTATTTTTTTGGGGGTGGGTACTGGGAATTGGACTCAGGGTCACTTGACCACTGAGTCACATCCCCAGCCCTATTTTGTATTTTATTTAGAGATAGCATCTCACTGAGGTGCTTAGTGCCCCGCTTTTGCAGAGGCTGGCTTTGAACTCAAGATTCTCCTGTCTCAGCCTCCTGAGTTTCTGGGATTACAGGCAGCGCCACCGAGCCTGGCTTAGCTTTTTCTCTTAACAAGACACTTTCTCAAATCCCTGACATGCTGTGTTCAAAGTAAACATCTGTTGTCTTTTGAAAATGCCTTCTTTATATGGATGATGTGGAGCTATTTCAAGGTACCACCTCAATCCTAGAAAATGTTTTTTTTTTTTTTGAGAAGGTCCAGGATTTCATAAAATAAGAAATTGTTGCTCTATTAAAAGTGAAGAAAAAGAGATATTTCCCACCTGTCTTTCATGACATCTAGAAGACCCTTCCTGTGGTCTGATAAACTTTTTGGCCTCTTTGGATCTTTCTTATTTATAGCTTATTATTGATAAGTATCCATACTTACTACTCCTCATTCAACAAATCCAAACATCCTAAAGACAATGTTTATTGTTATCTGCTTTAGGTCTAGATAGGGCATCCATGGTATGTTACACTCTTGGCTCTCACTTTTCTAGTAATAGCAGTAAGATAAGTAAGAAATTTATGGTGTTTTTTTTTTAAACTTGAGATGTCATAGTGAAATGCAATATGATAAGTTGACTGGTTCCATAGAGTGGGTAAACCTCCACCTCAACAACACAAAAAATTCATTGTTTAAACCAAGGTAAACCCTGAATAAATCTCTCAACTTAACCCACTTTACCTACTTCTCCTCCTTCTTCTTTTGGCACTGGGGATCGAACCTAGGATACTCTACCACTGAACTATACCCCCATCCCTTTTAATTTTTTATTTTGAGATGGTGTCTGGTTAAATTGTCCAGGCTGGCCTCAAACTTGTGATCCTTTTGCCTCAGCCTCCTGAGCAGCTGGGATTGCAGGTGCATGCCACGTACCTGGTTTCACCTTTTAATTAACTTCCAATCACCTTTCCCTGTTCCTCTCACAAATACTCCCAAGTCCTATTATTGAAGGAGGCAGATATGGGGCTTGAGTTTCATGTCTTCTCATACTTGGCTGTCTTGTGAACAAACTTGTTCTTTTGCAGGACTCTTCATATGGCAAAGTAGGCCCGCGTAGTTCAGTAATGATTTCTCAGGAAGCAAGTCCTGTTTCTGAAATCTAGTTCTAGGTGCATCATAAGTAACATCAGTATACACTTTTGATGAACAGTGTCTGAATTCTGAATCAACAGGAAGTGTTAATTTGAGCCCCACATGCGGCCCATTGGATTGCATTCTCTAAAATGGAGTGAATTTCCATTATTTCCTGGCCCCCGTGTTCTTTGGAATCAGGAGACTTATGGCCTGAGAATGGGTCCTAGAGACGGAACTGGGCAGAATTCAATTCAAACCCACCAAGGTAGGCTGCCACCAGAATTCCTTAGGAATATTTTTAGTGGAGGGTTCTCATGGCTGCTCTGCTTTTGTTAGGCAGGATTTTTTTTTTTTTCTGGTGAATTCACTTCAGGTTCTTTATATATTTTTATTGGCATGCTTAATTTAAATATTTATTGTGAATGCCTTCAGTATAGCAGCAGACCAACAGTCCTAACTGCAGAATTCTATGGTCTTGAAATTAAGGTTGGTCTATGAGTAGCTGTTCTGCTCCAAAAAAGAAACCCACTTTGGGCCTCCCCAACCCCACTACCCAAGCTACTAGTACAGCTACAGCTAGATGCCATCTTGCCTTAGGGGCAAAGTGTGGGGCCAGTGCATGCTTTACTAGGCAGAAAACAGTCCTCTTCAAGGTAATTTTTACACAGCAATTGTGGGGGTAACACAAAAGGATTTTAGCCTTCTGAGTCTATTGAATTTTTGCTTGAAAGTTTGTTATTTGAGCCAGTTTTAGCAGAAATTCAAACATCTAAGAATTAACTTTTAAATATTATTATAAGAGACTTAAAAATATATCATTATTATATTATTATAAGAGACTTTAAAAAAAAAAAAGAAAAAAAGCCAAGCCATTATGGGCCTGCTTAACCTGAAAAATTTGGTATATAGTCTGCATGAGACTGGCAAATAAATCCTATAAATTTGTTGGTAAAATGTCAATTTCTTCAAAATAGCATCCTCCTCCTGTCCCTGTGGCCCCCTGCCACGCCCTGGTGGTCTAGTGGTTAAGATTCGGTGCTCTTGCTGCCAGGACTGGGTTTGATTCCCAGTTAGGGAACCATGACAGTTTTTGGTAATACAGATGAAAAGGTCTGGCTTCTCCCTGAGCCCCTCTTTTTTTTTTTTTTTCCTCCCTGAGTCCCTACTTTTCTAACCCCATCAAGGCAACCCTTTTAACCTCCCATAGCAGTGCCCCCAGAATTCACAGGAGGTTTCTCTGTTTCATTAGAAATGCTTTAGGAGAGATTGAAACATAATGAACCTGGGCGGGTAGACTCCATCAGGATCCATTTTCCTGTTTTTAACCTACTGCTGGAGATTATTGTCCTCCTAGGGGGCTGAAGCCATTCAGAGTGAGGGTTTCTAATCTTCTTATGAGCAACCCCCATAGCATTCCAAGTGAGGCCTGTTCTAGGTTCTCCTTTCTGCTTGTCCCCACTACACCACTCCTTCTTGGTGGGGATTTCTTAGCAGGAAATGTGAGCATTGAGTTTCTATCAAAGTGGGGATTTAAAAAAAAATTATTCACTCTTTTTTTAATTATACATGACAGTAGAAAGTATTTTGACATATCATATATACATGGAGTATAACTTCCAATTTTTGTGGTTATACATGATGTAGAGTTACACTGGCCATGTATTCATATATGAACATAGGAATGTTATGTCCAATTCATTCTGCTTATCTTTCCCATTTCCATCTCCCCCCCCCCCCCCCCCTACCCAATCCAGTGAAACCCTCACTCATCCCCCAGCACTGTGGGTCAGCATTTGCATATCAGAACATTCAGCCTTTGTTTTGTTTTTTTTTATTTTTTTTTTAGGATTGGCTTATTTCACTTAGTGTGATAGTTTCCAGTTCCATCCATTTAGTGGCAAATGGCATAATTTTATTCTTCTTTATGGCCAAGTAATATTTCACTGGGTATATGTACCACTTTCTTTTTTATTCATTTATCTGTTGAAGGGCACCTAGGTTTGTTCCATAGCTTAGCTATTGTGAATTGAGGCACTCTAAACATTGATGTGGTCACATCACTATAGTATGATGATTTTAAGTCCTTTGGGTTTATACTGAGGAAGGGGATAAAGGGGTAAAATGGTGGTTCCATTCCAAATTTTCTGAGGAATCTCCATACTACTTTCCAGAGTGGTTGCACCGATTTGCAGTCCCACCAGCAATATATGAGTGTACCATTTTTTTTTTTTTTTTTGCTTTTTGTAAGACTTATATTCTAGAATTTTTACACTGTTTCATCTTTTTTTTTGGTTCCAGAGGTTGAACCGAAGTGTGCCTAACCATTGGGCCACATGCCTAGCCTTTTATTTTTCATTTTGAGACAGGGTCTCACTAGGTAGCTTACAACCTAAGTTGCTGAGGCTGACTTTGAACCTGTGATCCTCCTGCCTCATTATAACATGCGCCACCATGCCTAGCACATCGCTTCATTTCTGATCACAAGAATCTTGAAGTAAACAGAGTATAATCACTTAAGTCACTTTATGGATGAACTTAAATCAAAATGGGGATACTAATAGGATTTCTGTGGAAACTTAAATAAATGAGTTTATGGTAATTTTTTAATTTTAAAACAGGTAATTCACCTTGGCCCTTGTAGTTACCCAAAGCACCCTTACCAGGTTAGAGAAGGAAAGGCCAACTTCCCACAGAGGCACAAACTCCCAGACAAGACCCAGCAGCCACCTGAGGCTGGAAGGTCTCCAGAGAGGGGAATGTAAAATGACGATGAGACTAGCCAAAGGTATAGGTAGATCAGTAAATATAAAGAGACAAAGAAGGAAAAGAAGCAGTATTAAACAAAGTCAAGGAGCAAAGAACATTAAGCCTCAAGATTTCAAGAGACTGATTTGACAGGTCTAGAGGGCAAGACATAAGCACTAGACAGTGGGACTACACTGAGGGGTTATTGTGCCACAGAACAGCAGACCTTCCAATGAAACTCAAGCAAGTATGCTGGGAAGGCTGCACTTCTGGAGGCCCAGAAACAGTGACAAGAGCAGAAGAGCCTTTATTGTGCTGGATGGTGCTTACCAGGCAAGTGAGCCCTTACTGTGCCTAGCTGAAAGAAAGGGAGAGGGAGGCAAGCCATGTGTCATAGTTTTAAGAATTTTCTAGTGGTTCATGTTAATTGGAATTTAACTCAAAGTACTGCCCATGGGCAAAAGCACAGCCCAGGGCGTGAGCAGGAATACCAGCATCCTTTCGCCTCAATTCAGTCTCTGTGAACCCTCCAGCCCCAACCCCTCCACCTCCACCACTAGTCCCAAGGTGAAATGGTGGAGACAGGATGTGCTACTCTCTCAATTGTCTGTTCATTCTCAGAGTTGGAGGGCAAGTAGTATTTGAAGTTCTGCCTGTTTAGTTCCACACCAAAAAATAAGCAGAGGAAGGAGGTGGACAGAAAAGATGCTGGCAGCCTGAATCTTGCTAGGTCTTTATAGCCGTGTCTCTGGATTTGTAGGCCACTCCTCGACTTTTCAGCTCCTGCACAATTCCTTGGGGCAGACGACCAGTGACAGACACTGCATATACACCTGGCTTGAAGTTACTGACTCGCTGCCACTTGGAGACCCAGCTGTCTTCTGGACTCATCATTGCAATGATTCCATCAAAGGAAGAGCTGGTGCAGTCATATACCATCTCTCGATTACCCTTCATTTGTAGGTATGCATCACAATTATCACAACCGTCATATTCAAACTGGTCTATTGTCTTGACCAGCGAACACAGCAGACAAGCACGCAGATGTCGTAGGTCCTTGGGCACAGTCTCCAAAGCCATCCTCTAGGATACGAAGAACAGCAGAGTACATGGCCCATGAGTGTACCATTTTAAAGTGGGGAATGTTATGACACCTTCAGCAAAAAGAGAAAAACTTTTTGAAAGCTAGCGAATGAAAAATCTAAACGAAAGCTTTAAGATTTTTTGACCTGTCTGAATTTTTATGGGTACGTGTATATTGTGTGTTATGTCTTCATGATACCAGATCAACTTAGAAATAAAGGAGCACTCATAAATTGAATCCCACATGCTTTTAACTCAAATGTTTTAAAATAAGACTTGTCTTAATGTTGGTTTAAGAAAAATATCCAATAATCTTCTGAGCACTAACACACCTACCCAATATCATAAGGACAGTGGCTAGCTAGCTTGGTTTATGGCTCAAAGCTTCAAGGGTCTGAGTGATTCAAACCATTGCTGTGAAGAAATGAGACATGTTTTATAAAAGAATTATAGAACACGAGATGGGGAAACAGGTCAACAAAACTAATGGCTTAGATGGAATGAAAGGTTATAGAAAGTTATAAAAGGGGTTTAGAGAGGAAGTGAACCTTGTGGAAGATTTGATGCATGATCAAGTGGGCAACATTATTCATAGGTTATTCTAGAGGCTGAGCATTGACATTGAAGGCACATTGATGCAAAACTGCTTAAATGATAGTTTTCTTGTTGATCTTCTTTTAATAGGAAATTGTGATAGGAGTAGGGTTTCCTTGTTTTATCACCTCAGTTTTCTTTTTGGTCTAGAACTAAATTATTTATTTTAAAAGTTATGGATTTATTTTGCTCTTGTTGATTGTTTTTTGTTGTAAACTTTGTCCTAATGGAATAATTCTGGCCCACCATTCTGAGATGATACCCATCGCCTACCAAACAGAGAATTGAGCTCAAAGTGGGCCCCAGGTAAGCTTAGCTTGAGAACCACACCTTGGGAATAAACCTTCTCTTTTGCAAGACTTATCATTTCAGTGACTGGTATACTGTGTGGCATGGAAAATGGGCCCAGTTTGGTGACATTTATAAGCAAAGCACTCTTAGATCTCTTGTGATTATTTTGATGTTCAAATTAAGGTTGAAACTATTTAGCATTTGTGTGCTACGTTAAGTGCTTTTAGATCTTTTTGCCTTTATTCCTCTCAATGAATCATGAAGTAGATATTATTATTCTTTCTTTGCAGGTAAGGAAACAGGCTTGGGGAAACCAAATAACTTGCCTAAGTCCCCACAGCTGGTAAACAATGGCTCTAATCCCTGTAACTCTGAAGCTGACACTTCTCCCATTGTCAAAGAATTGGTTAAATTAGGCAATATGTTAGATGCCCATCAGGTTGATGTCCACAATCTCCTTTCTACTAGTCCCCCCAGGCACATGCTCGGCAATCCATCCACACAATTTTGTTAGGGGTTGCTATGCTGACCTTGACTCTCCTAAAGCATTGTTTTTGGTCTGGAGCAATTGATCCATGAGCAAGAAGTCAGTTCCTGCCAGGCGTGGTGGACAGTGCCTGTAATCCCAGCAGCTAGGGAGGCGGTGGCAGGAGGATTGAGAGTTCAAAGCCAACCTCAGCAACAGCCAGGTACTAAGCAACTCAGTGAGACTCTGTCTCTAAATAAAATACAAAACAGGGCTGGCGATGTGGCTCAGTGGTCAAGTGCCCCTGAGTTTAATCCCTAGTACCAAAAAAAAAAAAAAAAAAAAGAAAAAAAAGAATTCAGTTCTTTCCCTGAGGTATCAGGTTTGCAAGTAAGAGCTGGGGATAAGCTGGATGTGTGTGCTAGAATGTATGTATCTGGAAGTGGTGATATCCTTGTCCCACCATGTGAGTGGAATGTAGGAGGCTGGTCTGCAGTAATGGGAAGAGTGGAATAGAGGTCTAGGGAGGAGGAGAGGAGTGGTGCAGAGAGGGGCCTCCAGCTTCCCTCCAGGGCTCTCTCCAGTGTGGTTCCATTCCTGGGGTTGGCTGCATCACTCTCTTGGAGTTTTGTGAGACCCTAGATCTTCACAATGAATTCGTCTTTTTCACTTAAGATGGTTTGAAGTAGATTACTTTTATTGTAACCAAGAGCCCTAACTATTAATAATATAGGATTTATTGAAAAGCCACTGGAGCTGTTCACAAAAGGGAAAGAGGAATGGTACCTGTGTGGGGCAGGTGGAGAGCAGGTGAATCAGAGTTATCAACAACAGGCCCCATGCAGTGACATGGCCCTGTCTCCTCATCTGTGTCCACATTGGAGCTTCACATTCCCCAAGAAGAGACTCAGATAAGCACCTCCGTGCCTCTGTCCATCCCTGTTGTTGGCTGGGGTTGTGTGGGATCTTTCCTGGAGAAAAGGGAGAAGTACTAGCTGAGAAGACAGGAAGCCACTCTGTGCCTGGACCTGATTTGTTCCCTGAAAACACTTTGCACATCAGTGTATTAGCTGCTTGGCTGCCAGAGGAAAGAAAGTTGTGCCTGTACCTGAAGTACAATCTCTTACCAAGAAATATAAAGCCCGGAGCAGAGGAATCTGGAAAATTATCCCCAACCCTTGACATCTTTCTGTCCTTCCACTCTGGAAAGATCCGCTTTAGCATCCTGACACACTCACCTGTGGTGTGTTCTTCTTGAGCAAAGCATGTCAGTACTCTGTAAAGTGGAGATAATAACTTTATCCACCTTATAAAGTTGTCAGCATTCAGTGAGGTTGTGTTTGTAAAATGCCTTGTTTAGAACTGGCACCTAGAGAGGGCATCACAGATGGTAATTGATCATTATTTTCACTTGCACATGCTTCAGTTATGGTCTCAGAGTTCTCAGCTGTCTTGAATACTAAACACAGAGGCCTGAGAGCTCTGACTTGAGCTCCCTAATCAGATCAGAATCTTCCTTATTCCTCACTGTTTTGAGACTGAAGTCCTCCTCCCCAGAATCCCCTGTCTTAAATTAAAAAAAAAAACCCAAAAACCTCTCTCTCTCTCTCTCTCTCTCTCTCTCTCACACACACACACACACACACACACACACACACACACTGGGCACAGTGGTGCATGACTGTAATCCCAGTGACTCAGGAGGCTAAGGCAGGAGGATCGCAAGTTCAAGTCCAGACTCAGCAGTTAGCAAGGCCCTAAGCAACTTCACAAGACCCTGTCTTGAAATAAAAAATAAAAAGGGCTAAGGTTGTGGCTCAGTGGTTAAGTGCCCCTGGGTTCAATCCCCAGTACTAATAAATAAATATACATTCAGAAAAAAATTATAATTATATAATATAAATTAAAAAAATCTTTTGAAGTTTCTCTCTCTCTCTCTCTCTCTCTCTCTCTCTCTCTGTGTGTGTGTGTGTGTGTGCGTGTGTGTATATATATAATTTTTTTTCATATAATCACTATTAGGAAAAATATCTAGGACATTTCCAGCATCCTACAAGGTTCCTCAACATCTCCTTCCAGTTTATGCCCACCTCTCTCCAAGAGGTAGTTCCTGTTCTGACCTCTTTTCACCACTGATTGCAGTTTCCACTTCTTGAAGCTAATGAAATCATAATGTAGGTTTTTGGTGCCTATCTACTTTCATTCAACGTTATATCTGTGTTGTTGGATATAAAAGTAGTTTCTTCTTCTATTGATATGTAATAACATGAATATGCCACTGTTTGCTTAGCTTTTGTACGTCAATGAGCATTTGGGTTGTGTCTACATCTTGCCTCTTGTGAGCACAGGACTTCTGGAGGAGAGATGCACTTGCTTTTTTGGGACAAAAGACTGCAGTGGAATTGCTGGGTCATGGGGTCTGCAAAAGTTAGCTTTTGCAGATTTGATCATACAGTTTTTCTGAGCCTCATTTGAACCCAGAGACTTTGCCCCAGGGAGCCTCTGATTCCTCAGCTTCTTTCCATTGCTGGGAGAGGAGAGGAAGGGTATCAACTGGGAGCTAAATGGCAGCTTAGTTGGAAGTCTGTGGGAACTGGCAGGGATCCCAGGAGCCACTGCAGCCTCGACCTATGGCCTCCACAGGTCAGGCAGGGTAAGGCAGGTGACTCTTGAACTTTGTGAGAAAGCCAAATCCCAGAGAAGTGACTTGTCCCATTCAGGCCAGGCCAGGAAAGAGCTCCAATGGCTCCATCCCAAGCTCAGTGTGAGACAAGGCAAATCAACAAAACTTGATCTGTCTGGATAAACCCACGGGGAAGTGTGTGGTTTCAGCTGTCAGTCCTCCAACAGAGGATCCCTACAGGGCACTGGGAAGCATGTTCCAGTTCACCTGTGTATTCTCACTTCAGAAGATCCAACAGGAAATGTGCTAAATGTGCTTTGGTTCTGATGGTGGCATCTCTGCCAAACTTGAGGATGGACATACGTTCTGATACTTAGTTTTCACAGTTATCAGAATTTGTTTTTTGAACAAGATATTTTAGCTCTTTTCACTGCACATATTTATTTTCCCAACTGTTCTCTTTTGCCAAACAGAAGCTTTACAAAGTGTCTCAGAATTTGTAATGGCAAAACTTTTTAAAGTGAATTAGGTTTTATAAGTTAAGCTAACACAACATAATTACTCTGATAAATTAAAAGTTCCTGGCTTTGTTGTTGCCTGAATAATTTCTACCCTAAATTATTTAGCTCTTTCTGTCAGTCTCCTTGGAGCGGTTGCCAGAAAAGAACAGGGGTCCCAGACCAGTTCTGTTATTTTAGGGATGATGTATACAACCTTTTTCAGACAAATGGACATTAAGGTAAATCTAAAATATTGTTATTTAGTTTAGAGTTAGAAACTTTGTATTTTCTTCCTTACTAGTATTCATTTAAAAAGAAAAGTCTTTTTTGGCATTCCTCCAGAGAACTCTGTTCTCATATTATAGTCAAAATGGCTGGGTTCAAATCCTGCATTTGCCATCTGCTAGCTTCTGATCTCCAAACAGGTGTTTCCACATCTGTGGAAGTTCAGATACTATTCTAGGGTGCTATGCACTTAAGCAACAACAATAATGAAGGTTTCTGCTAATTAAATGTCAGTAAT